GGACGAATAAAAAATGCAGATTTTTCTTTGAAGATTCTATGCTTTATCATTTCATATATAAAGAAAGATAGGAAAATCAAGATGGTTTGGTCCCCGGTATGGTTGCAGTCTCCTTTCGATTTATAGAGGTAGATTGACCTCGTTGTCGCAACTTTGTCTTGTTGTCAGGGCGACTTAGTAGAATGCACCTTGTCCGCAGTCGTCTGCTATAGTAGTTATCATAATTCCTAGCATCCTACCGTGGACTTGGACCATTCTCGAACGTTTCTTGGCATCATCAGTGAGTGTTGCCATTCTTTGAATCAAGCTAGGAACTCGTCAAAGAGACAAATTAAGTCAATTCCTCGATCAACTTTCTGCCGTAAACGGTTACACTATGGCTGCTCTTTCTGCATTGACCAATCTATCTACTCCTTACCCTCTTATCCAACTCCCGCCCTATCACATCCGTCACATAAACTCGGCATTATGCCAAAATGTACTATAAATCCACTCCAGATGCCGCAGGCGACCAGCACCAGGAATAGGCCTCCATAATTTGCTCAGATAACATGAGTTTAATCAAGCAGACGACCTGCGAAGGGAAGGCCTGATATCTGCAAGCATGGCAATCAGAGCCTAGGCGCTCTGCTCGGTGGGGCGGCAGTGTACGTGCTTCTAGGGCCTTGAGAACTGACGCCTGGATTAAAACAAACACTGGGACTGGAACCGAGGGAAATCTGTCAACCAGAAAGATAAGAAGCGGATTAACAGGATCATGAGGGAGATCTGGATAGAAGGCCAGAATCGCATTAGCCGATTAAAAGAGAGGGGGCCAAGGTGAACAGCGGGTGTGATGAGACCAAACTAAAATTGTCAAAAACCGCACACCTTTTGGCAACTGGAATGTATACAAGTGAGAAGTTTTGATAGGGCGGGAGTTGGACAAGAGGGTCAAGAGTTGATATATGGGCCAGGACAGAAAGAGGAGTGATAGTGTAACCGTTTTCGGCAGAACGTTGGTCGAGGGTTTGACTTCATTTGTGTCTTTGACGAGTTCGTAACTTGGTGCGGAGAATGGCAAGACTTACTGATGATGCCGACTACTATGCTGACGAAAGGTCTGAGAATGTACCAATTCCACTGTCTGATGCTGGGAATTACGAAGACTATTATATCAGAGGACTTCGGACAAGGTTAGCTCTACTAAGTCCCCCTGACCAATTTGCGACAACTAGGTCAACCCTAAATAAAGGAAGGTAGCCTAAAAATGAGACTGTAATAACAACGGTATTAGCTCACTTCACCACTCATGATAAGGCCATTCATTCAACCACTTTAAAATCTGACCTCCTCGACACATTAATTTGGGTCTTGAATTGCCGAGTTAATGCTGAAATGATATTTTATTTACTATACTTTAATTTCAAACGACTTTACAACCACTGACAACAGGACTGCCCCCTATAAATAGAATAGAAGACTTAACTTTAAGTTTGAATTCGAGTGCTACATACATACAGAAGAACGACTTCCTTCGGTCTGTTGAACAGTTTTTACCTTGTTTATGTCTTATCAGCACCTGCAGATGAACTCAAATCTCGTACAGGTGGTGGCAGTCTGCACTATAATCAATATGAATCCAGCTCCACTAATATTCACATCTTGCTCTGATGCCTCGATTAAAGTTGAGACAGTTGAGCTAAATAATTAATTTGTACCACATCGCCTAATGCTTACGAGAGATCTCTTGATTTCCAGTAATCTAGATTCCTTCTGATATTCAAAACTTTTCTGGCCGCAAAGATTACATTTCAACGCTTTTTGCAACTCATCCCAAAAATGTCCAAATCACTGCTATATTTCACATTTTACTTCATTAATTATGTGATCAGATGTTATATGCGACTCATAAATGACACAGCAGTTGTGTCTTTTGTTGAGCATACATTTTGAGAGTAATCAAAGAATTTATCATTTATTGTATTATTCACTGTTGTATTTTTCACTTTGTTCCTTTCGGTATCGTCAATTAAATATCTTTTTAGTGGTTTGGCCGAAATCAGAGTTAGCTTCACTAAGAAGGAAGGGCTGGCTTTGTCACCAAGTTGCAACCTGTTAAATTAACACTCGTTATTTTTCTTACATCACCACTACTTAATCATGCTTCACAATCGGTGAAACCCATTTTTTCACCCAATCTTCCTCGTACTGATCACCAGATAGGAGTGTCTGAGAATAAGAAATAAGTTGTGCCAAAGAAAGCCAATGAACATTTTGCCAGAGCAATATACGAACTTCTTTCCGTAAGGCCAGAAAGGGATAGCTGACCCTTAAATAAATATTTTGTCGGACTAACTTGATTAATGTTTTCGCTTTCACCTTTCTATTATAGGAACGTTACCTCCTAGTTTGCTTACGGACGGCGAGAAGGTGGCCTTGATCGTTTCCACTCTTCTCATCATTCTACTGGCACTTGTCTTCTGCCAATTAACTCGTCAGCGGCACCGAGTTCTCTCCAAGTTGATGCTTACCGGCTCATCTCATCCAGAAACAGAGCTGATGCTGTAACTTTGCTGGCCGATCTGAGCATCGCCCAACCTATCGACTCATCAAGCGCCTCCGTTCTCTCGGCGTCTTTTCTTTCTTCACCATCTCCTCTTTCTATTTCCCTCTTGTGAGATTTCGCACACTTTTGATCACTTTCAGGGGCTTGTGCTCTCCTTCACTTCACAGCGTTTAGCGTGTGGCCCGCTATGGCCCAAAAAGTTATTAGCCCTTTGGGCTGAAAGTGGTATTTAATTACAGAATCCCATAACTCTACACAGCGCTTCCATAGACAACTTCTGCCAAATTATGTAGATCATCCCCATCAAGCATTCTCAAGAGATGTTCACTTTCTGCGAACTATGCTTGTTTCTCTCATGATGTGAGGATTTAGTATTTTGATAATCTTCTTCAATAAAATCTTATTTTCTTAGCCTTAAGCAAAACTTCAATTTTCAGTTGTACTGAAAGCTCTTATTTTATTCTCAGACCATTTTCCTTTATGCCCTGCCCTATTTATGGTTTTATTTCTCAGTTCTTGTATTCTACCCTCATAGCATTTTGACTATAAGACATTTATGGTGTCTTTGACATTAGATGAGTGTAGTTGGAGACGTGTAGGTCCGGCTCTATAATACTCTATCTTAAAGAGGGTATAAGATTTATCAACCTTTCGTTGCTCGATCTGTGTCCTGGTGATAAATATCACCTGTGAGCAAATACTCTTAGGAATAGTTACAAAGATTTTATTTTCTACATTTAATTGTCTGCAGAAGCCAGTGTGCATTGATCATCTCGGATAGGAGAAATACTTATTAATAGCTCTTGCACAATTTTGTAAGCCTTTTGACACTATCTTCTAGCCCCTTTTTTCCTCTCCTTGTGTATCTATACGTACATATGTGAATGTATAGGCCTAAATTCTCCCCAAAAGTCGTATTCCTGTAAAACATTCCAAAATAACTTTTGTGAATCCAATTGTACTTTAACTTCAAGATGGCCAACAAACCTTTTACGGCCGGGTCCTTGACCCAATTATTTTTCCTTGGCCTCCTTTTTTACACTCCTCCCACTTATATACATCCATATATTAAGTGTTTGGGACTTCTATTTTTTACTTTTTCATACAATACGTCTTTTTTACTGTTTCATTTACATGCACTATGCACTATATATTTTTTACAGTTGAGATAGACCTATTTTATGCATCCTATATTCTTGCTGTCAGTAGCTGCTTCAAAGTATGGTTTTCTGGTGTTCATCGAGATCCCTATCCTATGCATGCATCACATAATTCAGTCAATTATGGTGCCTTGTGTGCTATACTTGACTAAAAGTTGTTTTATTCGAAACAGCCTTATCTCAAATACTTAGTATTCCTATAGATACATACTATATATCAATGAAAAATGATGGAACTGGAATAGTCTAAGCGTATTGGTATATATGGAATGAAATAAAAGGAAGGATATAAAAGTTATTCCAAAACCTTATCCAGCATCATAAACTTTGAGTTCTATGCTACTTCTTCATATTGATTTGTCTGAACGGCCTAAAAATATGTTTATGGCCTGCCTTTCTATATTGAGGGCTCTCAGTGGACCAAAACTTTTATTTGTGAGGCTTCTAACTTGGCGCATTCTCCCCCATGACCCGACTTATACACATATCTTTCCTTCAAATATGAGATCAATCCATATACAGGTGCATTTTTGATATAATTGCATATATTTGTGTGCGTAGGATAAAGGATGCGTACAGTCATGTTTTTTTCATGCTGCTTTCGAGAGAGTGGAATAATATCTTATGTGATCTGAATCCTCCTGTTTACCCGGAAACGCCTTAATTCTGGTATATCTACGGCCCCAGTCGATTTCGATATGCCTGTAAGCGTCTACTATCAAACAAAATAGCTATACCTATCCACATTTTAATTCATGTTCACACATCTTTACATGTAGACTCCTTGAGGGTATTATTCTTTTGTTGCCATCACTCTTTGCCTTATCGATCATCGAAAATATACACTCAAGGGTAATAGAACATCGGCACCCCTTCATCTGTTACCTTTCACTATATACTTCAATTTTTTCTCTGCTTTGCAATGTCGGACCTTCACAATTGCCATCATTCTGTCTATGAGTTTTCAGGCTTTGTTTATTCTTGTTCCTCATCTTCCTTGCTCTTTCTCTCAGCCTTGCTTCTCACTCATTTCTGCTTGCCGGCCCTCTTCAACTGCCTTCCTTGTTCCCCTTCTCATCATTTTCTTGCTTTTCCATTGCTTCCCTCCGCACAAATAATTTGGAAAGTGATGGACAGCGTAAGCCATCTTTTTGCTAGTTCTACCAGATAGCTGTCATTGCAAGCAAGGGGAGTTTATCTATCTCATCTTCTTGCTATCCATACTTATTGTGGTATCCTGCTTCATCTCTCACTTACCTCTTATTTGTATATCTTCTTTGAATGCATACATAATAATAGGTATATTTGTTCCTTCCTCGCATTATGCACCTCCTCTTAGTTGTTGTATATACCTCATTCCAGGGTCTCAAAGTTGAGGCTCCTATATCAAGAGACTTACTATATCTAGAATGAATGCAAGTAAAAAATAGCTCTCAGTTACTTGAGTAAATGAGCAGGTGCCGGATGGAGAAAATGAGGGAGTCGGAGATGAAGATCATGAAGTGCATATTATTCCTTCAGACTCACTTGGGTCGTGCCCTCGTTTACACTTGGCCTGTGTTTATGCAGTTACGGCCTTCACTACATCTCTAAGGTTATGCTATTTCATGCGCTTACTTGAAGTCACATGCCCACAACGCAGCATGTTGAAAGCCGTCTGTTTAGACATCTGACAGAAATTCTCGTAATGTTCTGCTTTTAGGCCTTGTCTACTCTGGAGGAATCTTGCACTAAGCCTTTGCATCCTTGTGAGCTTATATGTCCTTCACGAGACGTGGCTCTTACATAGCTCAGCTTCTTTATCTGTCGTGCATTGACTCTCTTTCTCCCTCCCTCTACTGTATTCTCGTATAAACGCAAAAACTCATGCACACAATCAAACGGGACCACACGTGCATTAGGTATTCTATTCGTTCATTATGAGTAAAAGCAAACTCGTTCCAACACTTTCACCTGTGTGTTGACGGAGACTACACCACTTGTGGTTTTAATGTGAAGCCGATTTTTCTAAAATCACATACACACACAAAGGTATGCAAAAAGCATGCATACCAGTGGCCATATTTTTATCTTTTGATTTTTGTTTTTTATGAAAGTATATTTGAGTATAGACTACTTATAGACCGTATATTTGGCTCTGTTCCATTTTTTATAAGTAAACCATTATAAGTTTATTTTTAAATCGAAATAACTTTTGCTTTGAGTCTACATTAATCGAATTATTATATATTTTGTAAGGGGGACCTTCATTTCGAATGAAAGTGCATGAAAAAGAGATTCGTTGGTCGATCTCACCTGATGAGGACGGATGAAACTCGTTCTGCAGTCGTTTGGCTTTTATACGATATTAATGTTGACGCAGTCCACGAGACTTCTTCCCTCATTTCGGGTGAAAACGTGCTGAGCTTTCGCTCATCATATGATGGACATCCTCAGAGCTGGGTTTCATTCTTGTAAAAGTCTCACGTTAGTGATGGACGAAAGCTCAGCACGTTTTCACCCTAAACGAGGGAGGAAGTCTCGCGGACTGCGTCAACATGAATATAATATAAAAGCCAAATGACTGCAGTACAACGAGTTTTATCCGTCCCCCTCAGGTGAAATCGACCAAATAATCTCTTCTTCATGCACTTTTATTCGAAATGAAGGTCCCCCTAATAATGTTATCTCAAGAAATGCATTGAAACCAAGTTTCTTTTCGTATCTATTATATATTTTGCTAAATGTATATGCTCTAGGAGATAGGAGACGAAGATGGGGCAACCCTCTGTTTAGTCGCAGTCTCCTTTAGCTTTATAGTGTTGGTTCGACCTTGTTTTCGCAAATTGGTCAGTGTCAGGTATACCTTGTGAAACGCACCTAGTCTCGTTTCTTCTAAACTAGTATTCGTGATTTCCAGCATTGGACCATTGGCAGAGTACATACCACATCAGTAATGAGAGGCGGCATCGTAAGCACAGAGTTACACTTTGGCAAAATGAATAATGAAGGCAATCCCATGGAGTAATTTTCTGTTCAACCGTTGTGGCAACATTCTCCCCTCTATCTATTTGTTCTCCCTTCTAGTTCTGCATCTACTGCTTCACACAATTATGTGCTTTCATTTTATCTAATATGTACTTAGAATGTGTCAATACATGTGGGTTTAGTGAAGCGTAATAATCTCTACAATTAGTACCATATGCTATTTGCGGGGCTTCTGACCCTTATTCAGCCTACCCCTCTAACCCGTTAATCAATTGGCCGCTAATAAACATCAAGATCACTGGTATGAAGACCAGGATGATGTGGCCGGCGAAACGTCTGGGAGTGTACCAAGTTTACTGACCGACTTTGGAAATGATCATGCATACTATGGTCTCCGGACGATGTGTGTTCCTCTAGGTCTTCCTGTTAATATGACCAAGTTGCGAATCCAAGGTCAAACAACTTCT